TTAGATTGTGAATGCCGAAGGAAACAAACAGCTTTTGGTATAAGGAAAAGTTCTATTATAAGAACCCACGGGTAGGTGGATAATCGATTTTTCCAACGATTGATTTTTCGAAGAGTGAAACAGAACAAGATATGAGGTCTGTTTATTGCAATCTATTGATATTAATACTGAATTTATGGCTAACTAAAGTAAATAATGTATTGTTATTCTAATAACGATATATTTTTCTGAAACAAGATAGAGTACACCATAATTGAGTTCTAACAAAATTAAAGTTAAGTTTGAGTTCAAGGAACTGTCTGAATTACGAAGGCTGAAATTTTTATTTATGCTACAAGCGTCTTATCGGTTGACATAATTTATTTTAATTCGATTGAATAAAAAAAAATTATGGTTATATATATATATATACATGAAATAATATAATTAATATTTAAATTTTCATGGTTACTTTTTTATATTGGTATATACAGGCGATAATTAAGAATATTCCAAGTACTGGATGCTCTACACGCAAAAGTTGTTAAAATGCTTTGTACAAATATGACAATATTCAGTGATAATTAGTCTATTAACTATATAGACCATTCTATAATGTTAATCGGACTGTTAGAAAATTATTTAAGAGATATCAAATATTGCCATAGTACAGTTTTAATTGAGCAAGGATCGGTAGGTTTTAACTTGCCAACAGCAAAGAGTTCTAGAATTTTAAGCGCGGTTTATGAAGGATTTAATTCCTGTATCAATAGGAGCGAAGTTCGGCCATAGGTACATTAAAATAAATATGTAACATGATTTTATATTCTCATTGAGTACAAAGAGTAACCGAGATGTTTCTAGAAAATTCATATTAACGTTATACACAATTATTCATTTCAGATAATACTGAACTATTCTAGAAAGGGATAAAAGATTTTTAATGTTCTTTTATACCATATTCGTTCGAGCTAAAAAAGAGCTTAAATTAATAAACTCACTGAAATATGAACCGGCTATTTTTCTTCACTCTTTAGCAAAAAATGATAGAAATGATATTATTTTAGATAAGATTTTTTCAATTATTTAAATCTGAACGAGTAGGTTTTTAATTAGAAAATTTGATTATACAAGAAGAATTTTAATTATTTTTTTCATGAGTCCATCGCAGATTATTTAGCTCTATCTGATGATGTTGACTTATCAATATCTTGAAATAGATCAAGACTTCTTTCCTTCTGGAAAAAGTGTTGTAATATTTAACACCAATATCGATATGTAATTACTGAAATCAGTAAGTAATTTAATAGTAGTTTACAATATCAAAGGTTTTCGATAGAAGGAAACCTATTTTTAAAATACGTGAGCGCGAAAAAGTTTAGAATTAGTCTATCTAATATTTACGATGGTAATAAAAAAAATTAAAATGTTAGTTAAAATTCAAATAAAATAATCCAGTTGAATATGACGTGGTAAGAAGGAAACATATTTGGCTACATTTGCTCTGGAAGAAAGGTCACATTTTATGCACACACGTGTATTAGAAAACATCCATTAAACGTATTTTAGATTATCCCTATGAAAAAATAAAAAAAAAAAGAGGAAGCAAGTTTTCTAGGCTGATTATGCTTTGATGTTTTCTACTGCGTATACTATCAATTTATAGGATTCAGTTGAGTTTCGAATTATACTAATTTTTTTGTTCTACTTGTTCTTCTGATTATGTTTATAAGTATTTAATAACTGTGTCACGGATATAAAATTACAAATTTAATCTTAGAAATAATCCACGGCGAATGACGAGTCAGTGAAAACTTACACAAGTCCGATTTCGGAAAGATCAAATTCACAACGTTTGAATAATAAACTTCATGCACATTATTAACAGTTACGGTCGGCAAAGACACATCATTTTCTAGCTTCTCTATTAATACTAATTTATCGCGTATGTTAAACAGTTAGATATTGAAATTACTACGGAAGCGAAGCCGTAACGATTGATTTCTTACGTTGAGAGCGTCCTCAGCGCTAACGGATGACTCAGTCACTCGGATCTAGTCGTGAGGAATCTACGACCGACAGGCTTGAAGTTGCGATGGTTTTCTAATGCTGTGATGAAACCTTTATTCTTCTACGTCGGACGTGGTTTCAGGCTCTGACCTGGCAATAAGGTCACAAAGTGTTTTACAGGTAGCCGTCTTAGAATGTCCTGAAGTTGAGCGTTACAATTACGGTATGATAGTTCAGCCGAAAACACCGAGCAAAAGCTAGTGAGTTCATCATGGATCTCATCTCTTTGCTTTGTGGCCGTCACTCACGTGATGTTTTTGTTATTACTGCCTGCACCAATCAACTATTGAGAGCCAAAGCGGTTATCGTTCAGTCATTTGAATCTATACGTTACAATATAACAAAACGTAATCACGATTTTTATCAAATACGTATCAAAGATAAAATAACACATGTAGCACATTTTATATGTTTTTAAATTAAAGTAGTTTTTTACGTAAATAATAATTGTACGATTTAGACGATCGAAAATATCTAATATTCATACTCATTGTTCTTTCTTATTATATAATGTAATTAGTAATATTGACTGACGTTATATTGATTGACTATCTATAATAGGTACAATTAGAAAATACAGGAAAATAAATTGAATTATTTGATTTGTAGGATTCCTCAGCATAAAATAAATAATAGTTCGCTACAGTTCACGTCTAATAGCATCATTTTTATGTGACATTATACTTCGCTGTATATATCTTATGTATCTGATGAGGTATTTGATCAGGTCAACAAAACGTATATATATATATTCATCAGAAAGTCTCTAGAAGATATAAGTAAAATTTTATTATAAAACTTGTTAAAAGTAATCGTTTCATTTGTAATTAAATTTAAGGTATAATTTTCCTCTTTCAGAAACGTACCTCCTGTAATTGAGTTATTGAACATGATACATATTTTTAATTTCTATACTCGTAGAAATATGAAAAAGCTGCTATTTCTTTATTGCTATTTGGGATAACCCAGATACGTGCGAGAGAAAATTAAATTTGTTCACTCTTTGTAATGTTCAAACATATAAACTTTCTGACGAGCATTGGAAGCAGACCCGAGGCAGCGCACAGTAAAATGCGCTTGATGAACATGAGAAAAGAGCTCAACGCTTCACTCACTATTAAACCCGAAAAACTTTCTTTTAATTTTCTGCAACGTATATATTATGTAGTTGAAAGAGAGAGATTCCGACGCGTAGTTATCAAAAATTTGCTAACTTTTGTCTTAACATGCGGGATTACTCGTTTTATCTTAGGTATTTCTTTTGAATCAGTTCATTACGGCTCTAAGAATTAGTAATTCTCTCACGTGATTTATCCGTATTTGTTTTATAAATCAATTTGAAGATATAAGTCTGTTTGGGTTTTGTTTGTGATTGTAAAGTGTACCGTTATTTTGAATAAAAATTGTTATATAGATAATGCATAAAATAACGATATTTAAAGGCAATATCAGTTCAAGAAAGATAATATTAGTAGACGAGTTATATACACATCAAATCATTTCATTTAAATACGAACCATGAACTTTTAGTACAGTTCGATGTATCATTTGATAAAAACACAATATTCGTAAGGAATCCTTTTCCAATAGTATACAAAGATTTAAGCTCTGCAGCCACATGCGCTAAAGTAAAGTGTGACAGGACTAGAAATCTCTAGTGTATCGTAAGATTTCCTTGAAGATTTTTATCTTTTTCGCCTAAGGACAACGGAATGGCGTCCCTGTGGATTGCCGCTGCAATAGTTGTCGACGCTTCTTTAACTTTTTACGCGGGTTGCCCACAGCGAGCGAATATAACTTTTTTCTTCGTCCGGTCTTCCCACTTTCTTATCGATGTAAGTGACATTTGCTGCAGGACATCACGTTCAATCGATTTATCACGTTTTTCATTTCATTATGCAACCATTTCTTTAACGATTCTTCTTCTACGCGGAATACTTGTCGGTGAATATTATTTCACTTATTTTTATCTTAATAATGAACTGCATTAGTATTATAAAAGTAACGTTTATTTATAAAATGAAAATGAAACAGACAATTAGTTATGATAAACAAATAAGTGAAACTCAGTTGCTTTAACTTATTCTGGAAGCCTGTTCGCCGTTGAACTTATGTATAAATACTTTCCAAGAACGTGTAGAGCTTCTTGAAAAAATTAGCCTCAAGCTACACATTTGTCCAATGGATCAATAGTTAAACGCAGCAATTGAGAGTATTTTGTTCCAGTGAAATGACTTTTACTATCTACGAACTTTACCATTGAAAGGACACCAAAAGAAAAAAGATAATTGGCTTATTCTTCCAACTTTTACGTCGTTGCTATACGCAAACTATATATTTTCTTTTCTAGAAGTGTAAAACACGTAATACATGCATATTGTACACGACTTTTACTCCTTTGCTTTCATACTGTGTCAATGGAGTATGGCTTTTCGCAGAACTTTCATAACTCAAACGGCGAACTTTACGGAAGGTAATTTATTTCACTATCTGATACGTTATTCTCTATGGAAAATTGTGACTAGCCCGATTTTAAGTGAGAATTAAGTGGAGTCGCGATTTTCAAAAGATAATACAATGTTTCAACTGATTTACAATAACATTTTTGATAAACAACAATCAGTTTAGTGTGAATAGCACATCACAGAAGCCATGTCAGAGAGGCCAGTCTACACATAGTAACAGCAGCTTTAGTTGGCTTACTCGCTTTCATCGCCTCTAGGCTGCATTTCTATAAGCAGAAATTACGTACTAAACTCGAATGCCTGTGAGATGGTTCGATGATAGAACTTAACATATTTGCACTCGCAGTTAACGTATTTACGTTAACACGTATTGCTTCCAAATTCTCTATGGTTAATACTTAAAGATTCGATTTTATTTTATTTCCACTATTATCATTCATTTTTTAAATAATCAAAAAAGAAAAAGATAAAACAATATCTACTCACATTGATTGACATTAATGTCTACATTGAAGGAGCTTACGTGCTGTCATTTACTGTTGAATCTAGAAGGAAAAAAATTGTATTTTAATTAATGGCAAAATTAAGTAAGTACTAAGTCCTTACATTATCAAATTTTATCCTGTTGATTTATGGATAACTCAATTCTCTATCATTTCACTAGAAACGATATCTTTGGAAATATTCTGACTTTGATCGATAACACTTTTAATCCACCGTAACAATATTGAAGATGATTCTTATCACTATTTATTATTAGACGAATTCATGGAAATTAAAACTTATTCATTCAGTTATCATAAAGGTAAATTATATAAGAGATAATTATGATTTAGAGATTAATTTCCAATAATACAATAAAAAGTTAAAAGTTAAAGTACTTTACGCTACGGTTATTGTTCAGTAACTATTACAGATTAATGATCATGAATTTTAAAAGCAAAGCGAATAAACAACAATTTTTCTTTTTTCGGATCATATCAGTCATCATACACTAATAAATTTCAAGATAATAATAATAAACAAAAACAGCGATTTAGAGCAATTCTCACTAAATGTGAGTATATATTCAAAAACAGCTTCTCTTTATTAGAATTCTTCTCTGGAATAACATTTATGTAATGATGTTGACACAAAGTTCCTAATGAATTTGCGCAGGCATGTGATATGTGGAATTGCTTAGTCTTCCAAATGTACATGAAGCGATCTATTTCATTGCATGACGAATTGAACTATCTCAATGTTGAATACGCTGTAATCATGGATATATATCGATTCGTGAAACTGATATTACCGTGATTGCACGTACAGGATATAGCTGTTAAGATACCCGTGTAGTAATTTAATCTGGAGGCTGTCGTGTCATTAAAAAATAATCCAATTAAAATATTTCTCTTTTCAATGAAAGATATAGATTGTTCTTTTCCGTATAAAATTGCCGGTCAATCTACTTGCTAATTTTAAAAGTGATTGCGGCAGTTTGATAGTTCTATCGTTTATGTATCTTGATAGTCACGAGGAAAGTTTTCATAGCAGTATATATCTATCAAAACCTAATGAAAAACTGCAACTTTCATTGAGTACTCTAGCTATAATAGATTAGATTTAATCTTCAATGTTCCCTACCTTAGTTAATAACATAAAAACATTAGATAAGTTAATAGATAATCTTAATTAAATTCACAGAAAGATGTAATCGGATAGTAGACATAAGAAGTAAGACTGGAAAATTTTGATCTCAATAGAGAAGTAAAAATACCAATATTAACAAGTGATCGCATAAGCCTCATTCAACTGAATATAACGTATACGCATTTTTATAAAATAATGTAAATTTGTCATTATAAATAAGATCTATTAGAAAAGTAACCTACTAATAGCATTCGGCATGAGTTACCCTATAATGACAATTGTCGTGGTTTTTTCTCACTCTACCATTCAAAACCATATCACCTCTGTCCAGTTCTCTCGCGAGCTCCATTAGATTAGCTCTCTAATGTCATTATCCTTATTCCTTGTGTTCGTATCAGTTATCTCGTTGCCAATTAGTATAAGCTCGCTTTTTCCTCTTGTGAATTGAACCACCAGGATAAAGTAATTTTCTCTAGGTTTCCGAACACATTGATCGATTAAAAGAGAACAATTGATGATAACCATTCTCGTCTCTCAACCACATACACTTCTACACTAGTAACTTAGCATACCGGTAACCTCTCCTAACCAAACACATGATAAAACTTTGTGCAATAGTTTTATAAATTGCAATTGTATAGTGGGCTACAGCAATACAATTATTTTCAACGATGAATCCAAATATTTCTTTGATAGTAGTAGTGATGAGGAAGTCAACAAAGAAGAAATTCTTGATAAGGAAGTTTGTTCAGAAGTAGAAAGAGAAATGTGTCGTGATTTTGATCAAGAAGCTCGATTAGAGCTTGAACATAACTCATTACATAAAAAGTCAATGGTCGGTACAGTTTACTACATTTTTGAAGTGGAAAAACAAGAATAATGTGAAATGTTTTAAAGAGAATATTTTCATTTGTTATTTCAAAGATTCACAACAAACAACAAAGAGTATGCCCAATTGTTGCTTGGTGTATTTGGTCAGTATAAAAAAATGCACAATATTAAACATGATATTGATATTGATAAATACCTCAAGTTAAAGGATATTTTTTTAAATAAATTTAAATGTTATAAATAAAAAGATCGCTCACATTTTCCTGGGAGCAAATCATTTTATGACCAATGCATCTGATTATCTTTACCTTGGTATACTAAAGTATTTAAAAATTTTCTCATTTTTAACTTATTCTAAGCTCTTAAATATTAAATTATTTTTTAATAATTGTCATAATGTTTTCAGGTTTTGCTTCTTTTTGATATCTATGGAGAGCTAAGATACTGTGAATTTGTGAGTCTAAATAATTCTCATGTTTATAATACAACCAAATCCAAAAAAAATTGCGCCGCGAAATTTGGACGGAGGAACATCTTTTGCCATTATATTATGTACGTCTCTTTTATTTTCGGTATATTGTTTAAAATAGCTCATTTTTATTAATTTCTCATTCAAAATAAAATATGTAACATTAATTAATGTAAAATTAGGAAGCAAGAACACTTCTACGGTTAAATAGTATATTGCGGAATGTAAACTAATCGCGCACAAAACGAACGTTAGGATAAGATGACAGATGAAACACAGTGACACTCGCTTAACTTAAATACACGTTATTTACATCGAAAAATATCTGTACGTGAACTCACCGGTGACGTCACTGTTATTTAGGGGTGAGGTTGAGTAGGAATTCAGTGGTGGAATATTTATTATTCTTATGTTTATTAAGGCACACGATACAGAAAGTTTTACATGTAGTTAAATCGCGCGAAACAAATTCTTTCGACAAAGGCTACTTCCTGGAGATGAAGGTGGTGTCGAACTGGCTGCTACTTCACTCTCGTACGCCGAAGACCAAATTTTCCAGGCCCCTCCCCACCGCTGCATTGCAGGGTCTCATAGGCGCACGCGCTGTCGTTCACGCCCCCGCTCTTTCACCCTTCTTGCTCTCTCTCTCGCTCTCGTACGACAGCCGATCGGTCTAGAGCAAGTCCCATGTGACTTGCCCTTCCCGCCTCCAGGGTGACCCACATGTTCAGGAAGCTGAGCTTCCTCGAGGGGTCTGCAGCCTCCGGGTGCGCACGGATCTGTATTGGTGGCTTATGCGGCGACGAGCAACACTCATCAGGCGCCTCGTCCCGCAATACGTCGACTCAAGTATCGAGAGGAGCCCCGAAGGCCTCACACATACAGCATACCACACAAATACACCACACAGATACACCACGCACACACACCATTCAACGACAAATTAACACGCAGGCTAATTAATTTTTTGTTTTTGAACCCAATCTTCTCTCCGGCTATTGCGACACATTGTCTCGAGGTCGTAAATAACTGTGTTTCAGTTGGAGAACAGCCGCGCGCGTACACATTTTCCCGACCTGAACGTGTCCTGTCGAACATCTGTACGATCGAGCACCCGAACTCGAGTCCCGCTTTCTAAAGTAATAAAAAAAAAAAAAAAAAGGTTTGCGCTTCGCTGTCGAACGAGCCTTTTTTTTTTATGCAGGACTGACCCATGTGGCAGTCAGCCTGCTGCTCACTCGCGGGCGAATATATTTTTAGCGTTCTCAACAGTCACTTTGATGCCGAATACAAAACGGATGGTGCGAAACCGCACAGTGCGCGTAAAATAAGTTACCAACAATCTGCTTGATAACCTCCCCTCTTTAAACCCGCCGAAACGCAACCGACCGTTAGCAACGACACGGAGGCCGGCACAACTACTTGGCCACATATATGTAAATGTGACGCCTAAACATATGTATGTATATATGTATGTATATAAAAACCTATATAAAAATCTTAGGGTATAACCCTGAATGGTTACAATAGTTACAAATGCAACGGTGAGTGAAGATATTATTACTCAATAGGCTCTCGCATGAGCACTGCGCAAAATGAATCGGGCAATCAAATTTATAAACTAATGGGGAAAGTTCAAGACAGAGCGACAACAAATAACTCTGGATAGAGGATAACGTTATTAAATGGTCGCATATATTTCGAGCCACCCTCAACGCATAAGGGAACACAACAACATGAGACTCGAAAACGATGAAATCTAGCGTACACAGAACAATGTAAGCAAGACAATAAGTGGCCTCAAAGCAAAACAAAAAAATGTCAAAAGTTAAATCGAGCGTGCAGCAAAGAAGTGAGAGAGAGAGAGAGAGAGAGAGAGAGAGAGAGATCTTTTGCGCCTCGGAGACCGTTTTCTGCCTCTGTCTCTCTTTCTGCTCGTTAATGCTGCTGCTGCCCTTACCCTATTATTAACCGGTGTTGCTGTTACCGCTTAGCAACCGTGCGAAATCGTCGCTCGCATCGTCAACATAGATTCTCACCGGGATTCCACACGCACGGATGTTGAGTTTCAACGCTGGCTGTGAAATGGTGAAAAACAAATTTCATTGATACAATAGTAGTACAGTATCGTATGAAGGGAAAGCGATTGCCCGTTTTCCAATGCAAATGCTCAACGCGCGCATTTCTCGAATTTGCCATATGCGCATCGCTGACTCTCTCGTATCCCATCCTTTTCCTCGCCAAAATTTCTCAAATAGCCTTGCCTTTATCGGGCCTTGCTGTGTTGGGTGCTTCTTTTTTCCGCCATCGCACTCTTGCTCTCTTTTTTTTTCAAGTGGCTTCTGAATTCTAATCTTTTTTTCAAGTGGCTTCTGAAAACCCGTGGGGCCTGGTAACCTTCAGAAACTTATTCGTTCGAGCTAACGAACTGCAATACGACGACGAAACGCATACTTTGCGGTCGCCCATGTTAATGAATCGAGTCTGAGTTACGAATGAAATTGCCCATAAACATTTTTTATTGTTGCGGGCGTGGATGGCCAGTCATTCGAAGGGTTGAATAAAAGTAACGACATATTACAGAAGTCGGTACACGCGTAGCTTGACGGACGT